GGCACCTGCTGGCCGCGGCGCCTCACTGCACCCACCGCCCGCCGGCCGGGGGCCGAGCCCCAGCCTTCCCCCCACCGCTGGGCTGGGCAGCCCCCCGAGGGGGGTCACGGGGAGCCCCAGCACCCCGCTCCACAGGTAGGGAAATGCTCCTGCCGAGGTGTCCCGGGGGGGGGGAGCAGCCCCCACAAAGGAAAGGATGGGGCAGAGCAACCAGGCATGGGGGCAAGAGCAACCAGGTATGGGGGCAGCCCCCTAGACTAGCTCAGCCCGGGCTGCACAGGCCCTCCTGCCTTGCAGCACCCACAAGGGCTCCCATCCCACAGCACCAGACCCAGCAGACTTCCTCCTGGGCCCCCCTCATTTCCTACCCCGTGCTCCGCGCTGGCTCTCCCCAGCCCCACAGGCAGGAGGAAAGGAGGCGGGCAGCAGGCCCAGGTGGGCAGCTGCCCCCACACCCTGCCCCATGGGGTGCCCCGGCCTTGTGGAGCATCCCCAGGTGCTCCCCCAGGAGCACAGGAGCTGGCATCCCCCACCTGCATGGCTGCAACAGCAACACAGGACCTTTTTAATAGCGAAAGGGCAATAGTGACGTACCTGGTAGCCCGCCCGGCCGCTGAAGCTGTTGGCTCGCAGCATGTACAGATTATTCACCCATACAGCGCGTGGACTCCAGCCCTGATCCTCTCGCTCATGGTCTCTTCTCCCTCATTTTCAGAGGGCTCTAATGATGCTCACTTGGTGCTCCAGACTCAGGCAGCTCAATTAATTGCCGTGCTGAACGCTCGGGCCAATGAACGTATTTCCTCTGTGAGATGGAGGAAGCCCTGTCATCTTTGTCCCTGCACCACACACTGTGTTATAAGCCAGGCCTGGGAGCAATGGCGCCTGGGAGAGAGGGAGCAGGAATGGGAGAGATGTGGTCTAGGAGCCAGAGAGCACAGCCTCTAGAGCTGGCACAGGGCCAAGTGAGGGAAAATGAGGGGGAATCCCACTGTTTGAGCAAGGGAGTGCAGGACCCACTGTGCTGGCTTGCCTGGGAAAAGGGCAATCTGCAGGGAGTGACTTAAAACCTGTAAATGAAACCCAAGATGACTGACATGCGCGCACAAAAGATCTCTATCTGAGAGTAAATGCAATGTATGACCACAGACTTCACTGCAAGGGGCAAGTGGAGACACAAAGGATGAAGGGACTCACCTAAGTCTATGGCAAGGCCAGGCGGGAGGTAGAGGAGATGCTGGACTTTGTGAGCATCTCCTGCCTTCTGCTTGTTGCAGGGGACCTGTGTGCTCTGCAGGAGGACATGTAGCTCTGCCCAGCAGTGGGTCTTCCTCTCCCTCAGATGTGGGATCTGCGGGGGCTTCACCCCTGGCAGAGGCCTCCTTGGTCACAGCTTGGATGGAAGGACCCGGAGACAGAGAGGGTGCAGGCTATGCCCAGTCTGACATGGATAACCTCTTCTCTGACCAGTTTGACCTCAGTTGTAACAGCGCACCTGCACTAAGGCCATCACAGGCTGTCCAAGCTGCTTTGCTCCAGACCTGGGCTGGTGCCTTTCTGGAAACACCCCCCTGCGTGCCCCCATGCTCTCTGCAAAGCCAAGCTGCGTTCCCCAACACAGTCAGAGAGCAGATTTAAATAACAAAACATGACCAGCTGCCTTGATTTTCTGTCTCCTTTCCTGGCTGGACACCCTCAGTCCACCTGAAGCTAAACCCGGCCAAAAACATCACTCCTGAGCCACCGCGTTGCAAAAGCAGAGCTTTGCTGGGACAAAGAGCGCAAGGGGGACACGTGAGGCCAAAAGCCTGAAGAAAAGGGTTTGTTCCAGAAACCACTGGAAAGAGAGCTCTCTGCAAGCAGGGGACAGCTGGGATGGCATTGTATTCATCTCGGAAAGGGAGAAGACCTACCTCATCGAAGGCACTTTCCTTGCATCGCGACCATCGTTGTGCGTGTGACATCTCTGTGATTTTATTGATACCAGCAGCACTCAGCGCTGTCTGCAAAGTGCCTCGGTACTGCCAAGGCTCTCCTTTTTTTCTCTGCAGGTCATCTTGTGGCTCTGCCCAGTTTTTGAGATGAAAGGTGGTCAGAAACTGCTTGGGCTGGCAAGGACCCTTAAGATCTCACACGACAACCTGTGGCACACCCTGTCCTACAGGATGGACATCTTTATGAGTCTATACCATGCTTGATGATAATCTGTAATATTCATAAAGCCTCAACTCCCAGAGTCCTGGGATTAGGCAAGAAACTTGAATTTGTAGCCCCTGAAGACCGTAGAGAAAAGCTTCAGGGGGAAAAAAAACAGCTAGTAAATAAAATTTTTATATAAATCCCCTGGCATTTGCATCCAGATGCTCAATTTTTGAATGCATGCTGGTTACAGCATTGATATGAGTTATAAGGAGTCTGCAGTTTGAACTCAGTCAACAAGCGCCTGACGAGACAGCCCAGAAAACAGCCTGTTCTCCAGCAGCATCGTGTTCCAAAGAGCCGCAGGAGCCTGCCCTTTCCCCGGGAAAGCAGCCTGATTTCTCAGCAGAGCCCCACGAAGGGCCAGGCTCGCCAGGCGAGGGGGGCAGCCTGGGTGCGCACTAATGAGCAAGGCTGAAGGCTATCGATACTCCTCTGACAGCTCCCCCTCTGCCAGCCGCCGTCCCAGGCGGGCTGCAATGCCCTTTCCGAGGCACAGCGGTGAAGTTCGCGTTCAGCACGTGTACCTCGAGCGTGTCCCTTGCAAACAAGCTGACCTTTATGGCTGGTTTCAGGTCATTAATTAGGCACACTGCTTTCCATGCTTTCCACCCACCGGCTCCGGCATTGCTTCCAGGGGCCCGGGGGGAGCCGGGACCACCCTCCCCTGCTGCCTCTTGGGGAGAGGGAGCTGAGAAACATTCGTCGGATCTCAGGGCTGCTCACAGCACAGAGCAAATCACATACGGGGAAATAATCTCTGGAAGGAATCGCTATGGTAGTAAGGCTGCAAAATGTGTGTTTTGAACAAGCAGGCCCAGGAATTGTTTATTTCCAGAAGAGCAGTGAGATTATGGCAGGGAAAAAAGTAACAAGAGCTGCTCAAGGACCGAGACTTGCTTTGTGGACAGTCTGGTTCACGGTTACAGAAGCTGGACACACCTAAGGCTAGCTCAAGGCATTGCAGCACAGACTCCTGGGGGGACCACACAAAAGGGCAACCTCTAGAACAAGGTGCCAAAATTATTTCTCGGCAGAAGCTTTCAAGAGCAGCTCTGTGCCAACTGGACACAAGCCATCAAAGAGGGGAGCCTTGGGTTGGGAGCCATGGGTGCTCTGCGACCAGAGGTAAACAGCAGTCACAGTTTGCTTTGTGTTAGGAGAGCTGTGGTTTGCTCATTTGCGCTGATCTCAGTATTTGCATGTCCACAGCAGGAAGCCCTTGTTGTAGCTTTGGATTTTGATCGTGCTACTGGGTATATTTGAATAAATCAAAGCAGGGTGTCGTTCAGGAAGATTTGCTTTAGTAACTGGGCTCCACTGGGGGTAACACACTGAAATCCCATGGCTTGTGACACCCCGTAGCCTAACAACTGAACAGCCCTTCACGGCAGCTTTGAGTTGGCCAGTTTTCCCCAGGCCTAGGGCAAGCTGGTGGAGGTGCGCCCAAGTCACAGAAAAAAATGCTTTTCCCCTTTACTGTGTTAAACCCAGGAGGAAAAACACCGTAGGACCTATCAGGGGAAGAGGCACAGACCTTCTGCAGGCAAACCTGGCATTGCTGGGTGTATGATGGTGCCACTGCAAAGTAACACCAAGTAATACAGCAAGC